ATGTAGCAGTTCCCCATAGTGGTGTACAGTGTATATTTGGTGTTTAATCAACTCCTCCAACATTTTTCAGTGGACTAATTTGAAACTTGCCACAACTGTAGCATGTATAATGGACACGTACATGTGGCATTATGGAGGTGGTAGATTAATTAGAAAAAAAAGAAAACAAAAGAAAAATGCTCCTTGAACTTCATTATTTTTCAGGTCGTATCATATAATACTTTCCGTGTGGATGTACAGCCTGTGTAATCAACTACTGCACCTTTTAGTATACATAAATTTGAAACATATCAGATATTTTATATACATATAACAGAGTCGTATACATCCAGTACACCGCGGCTAAGAAAGATGGAAATGTGTTCGGTGTTAAGAGGTAAGTACAGGTATGGTCTTTCCGCTAATGACCTGTAAGGTAAAATGTGACTTCTATCTATTAATTCTCTCACCACTACAATTATGCAATAACCTAACCTAACCTAACCTAACCTAACCTATCCTATCCTAACCTAACCTATCCTAACCTAACCTAACCTAACCTAACCTAACCTAACCTAACCTAACCTAACCTAACCTATCCTAACCTAACCTAACCTATATCGTATGACAATTTACATAGACAAGTATAGAGACAGATTTGGGGAATGAATTATATGGATAATTTTCACATAGGTCAAGAGGTCAAAAAGGTTAAGAGGTTACGAGGTCAAGAGGTTACGAGGCCAAGAAGTTTAGAGTTCAAGAGGCCAAGAGGTTAAGGGGTCAAGAAGTTTAGAGTTCAAGACGATTAAGAGGTCAAGAAGTTTAGAGTTCAAGAGGTTCAAGAGGTCAAGAGGTCAAGAGGTCAAGACGCCATTAGGTCAAGAGTTTAAGAAGTGTTTGTTTAAATTTGTCTTTCCTTGTACTGTTCTCGTCTCCTCCTCCTCCTCTTCTTCCTCCTCCTCCTCCTCCTCTTCTTCCTCTTCCTCCTCCTCCTCCTCCTCCTCCTCCATGTCCTCCTTCCCATTGCCTCTCTCTCTCGTCTTTCCGCATCTTCTTCTTTCTTCCGGCGACACATGATGCCCCAGAGAGATAAAGGAGAGACCTAGATAACCAGAAGAGACGGAGAGACAAATTTAAACGAGACAAAGTGAGATAGGTAAGGTAAGGTAAGGTAAGGTAAGGTAAGGTAAGGTAAGGTAAGGTAAGGTAAGGTAAGGTAAGGTAAGGTAAGGTAAGGTAAGGTAAGGTAAGGTAAGGTTAGGTTAGGTTAGGTTAGGTTAGGTTAATTACTGTGATCTTGGAACAAAATTGTGATGGTGATGACGCCGATTACTTGTGGCCAGCTATGAAGGCCCTCTCGTCCTGAGAGAGAGAGAGTGAATGTGGAGATAGAGATAGATAGATAGATAGATATATAGATAGATAGATTAGCTTTGATATGTAAGCTAAGGTATTAAGACAGAGTAGACATCAACACAGTGGAAACCTAAATTTAGTGGAAACATCAACAGAGGCAGCAAAAGTAACATCAATACAATAGAGGCAGCAACGGTAACATCAATACAACAGAGGCAGCAACGGTAACATCAATACAACAGAGGCAGCAAAAGTAACATCAATACAACAGAGGCAGCAACGGTAACATCAATACAACAGAGGCAGCAAAAGTAACATCAATACAACAGAGGCAGCAACGGTAACATCAATACAACAGGGCAGCAAAAAGTAACATCAATACAACAGAGGCAGCAAAAGTAACATCAATACAACAGAGAGCAGCAACGGTAACATCAATACAACAGAGGCAGCAAAAGTAACATCAATACAACAGAGGCAGCAAAAGTAACATCAATACAACAGAGGCAGCAAAAGTAACATCAATACAACAGAGGCAGCAACGGTAACATCAATACAACAGAGGCAGCAAAAGTAACATCAATACAACAGAGGCAGCAAAAGTAACATCAATACAACAGAGGCAGCAAAAGTAACATCAATACAACAGAGGCAGCAACGGTAACATCAATACAACAGAGGCAGCAAAAGTAACATCAATACAACAGAGGCGGCAACGGTAACATCAATACAACAAGGGCAGCAAAAGAAATGAAAAGCATCAATACAACAGAGGCAGCAACGGTAACATCAATACAACAGAGGCAGCAAAAGTAACATCAATACAACAGAGGCAGCAACGGTAACATCAATACAACAGAGGCAGCAAAAGTAACATCAATACAACAGAGGCAGCAACGGTAACATCAATACAACAGAGGCAGCAAAAGTAACATCAATACAACAGAGGCAGCAAAAGTAACATCAATACAACAGAGGCAGCAAAAGTAACATCAATACAACAGAGGCAGCAAAAGTAACATCAATACAACAGAGGCAGCAACAGTAACATCAATACAACAGAGGCAGCAAAAGTAACATCAATACAACAGAGGCAGCAAAAGTAACATCAATACAACAGAGGCAGCAAAAGTAACATCAATACAACAGAGGCAGCAACGGTAACATCAATACAACAGAGGCAGCAAAAGTAACATCAATACAACAGAGGCAGCAAAAGTAACATCAATACAACAGAGGCAGCAAAAGTAACATCAATACAACAGAGGCAGCAACAGTAACATCAACACAACAGAGGCAGTAACGGTAACATCAACACAACAGAGGCAGTAACATCAACACAACAGAGGCAGTAACAGAAACATCAACAGAGCAACATAGCGGAGGTAGTAACATAGCGTGATGGGATAATGCAAGTGAGTGGGTCAGATTAGGAAGGGCGCGGTCCCGAGCACTGCAGCAGAGCCCTTAAGACCGGGTAATCCCCGCGGCCTGCAGCTCGCCACCCATCAACCACCACACGCCTCCACACACCACCACATTACCACGCCCCCTGCGCCTCTCCTCTCCCCCCCCCTTCTGTCACTGCTTGATCATCATGCTCCCCCTCCCTCCTGTGCTGCTGATGCTACCACGCTCCTCTTGCCGCCATTATGGTACAGCGGTTCATTTTGTTGTGTATCATGGCTGTAACGCGGCGTTTAGGTGCGTCTCCTGGCCTAATGACGCCAGCATGAGTGTAATAATGTGGGTTAAATACCACGCTAATAAGGCCGGTAGGTTCACTCTTGATTGAATCTACCTATAATTATTGTTTGATCCCTATTTTTTTTGTTCGTATTATGAGAGGAAGATATTTTAAAGTAGATAATGGGTGAATCTTCGTCAGGGTGATGTGGTTGAGGAGAGGGCCAGTCAGCGTATGAGTGCTCGTGTTTGTCTCTGTACTGTACTGGATGGGATCTTTAGTCATAACTCCCGTATCATCTCCTTTTATGCATTTATTACTTCATAGACACAAGCAGAACTGACATAATTTTTTGTCTCCCGCTGTTCTCTGAGTTATCACAATACATTCGTCTCCTGTACTGTACTCACCTGTTATTATTGGAACACTTTCAGTATAACCCCAAAGCAACACTAATGTTAAGAGTCTTCGAGTGAAGTCACATCAGCTGATTTTTGTTGACACCGCCATGTTGTTACCCCTAATGTAACCGACACCGCCATGTTGTTACCCCTAATGGAACCGACACCGCCATGTTGTTACCCCTAATGTAACCGACACCGCCATGTTGTTACCCCTAATGTAACCGACACCGCCATGTTGTTACCCCTAATGTAAATGTAACCGACACCGCCATGTTGTTACCCCTAATGTAACCGACACCCTAATGTAACCGACACCGCCATGTTGTTACCCCTAATGGAAAAAGACACCGCCATGTTGTTAACCACCGCCATGTTGTTACCCCTAATGTAACCGACACCGCCATGTTGTTACCCCTAATGTAACCGACACCGCCATGTTGCTACCCCCTAATGGAACCGACACCGCCATGTTGCTACCCCCTAATGGAACCGACACCATACAGGGAGGTCACTTTTAATACAAGCCAAAGGGGCCGGTGACAGTAAACATATATCAACATCGATGGCATCTTTTAATTACTGATATATTAAAATAAAATAAAATAAATTAATTGTGTTCATATATTATACTTTATTCTGTAAGACATTTATATGAGATTTATTTGCCGAAGGAATGGTGTGTGTAGCCAGGTAGGTGAGTGTGTTGACCTCAGGTGTGTTGAAGTGTTTAAAAGCCCAGTGACCATCCGCCTCGATTTTGTGTTCGCCTCTCTGATAGGGCTGGTGTGTCCTGATGGGGGTTAGTGTACCTGATGGGGTTGTGAACACAAGTCATTTCTAATTAGCTTCGTTTCTCAATGATCTTAACCTCACAATGTAGTATATTTATGTAGACATTAATATAATAAAACACTAGATGAATTAATGGACAACTTTTCTTCTACTATTTCAGAAGCGTGTAATTATCGACTCGTGGTTGCAAGGTCCAACTTATAACCTAATTACTGAACAGTTCATATCAACGTACGACCCCCTTGTCCCGCCCCTTAATGTCCCCGCCTTAATTGGAGGTTTGCGATATAAATTTACCTGTTATATATTCGCGTAGATTAACCAGATTTTTTTTTCCTCTCCTCCAAAAGCGTATTAACCACGGCTAAAGACAATGTATCAGGGCAGGCCAGAGCGTTTAGAACCCAAAAGGTTAATGAAACATTTGCTTGTCGCCACGCGGGGTTCTCCTCTATCCACCACACGATATAATGTGGTCCTGTGTTAAGTACTTACAGTGTTTGTTTACGCCTCTAATCACCATGTGTTTACCTGGCCAAAAATGGCTGCTTTTTTGGCGGGAAGTGGTATGATTAGACGATGTAAGCGGACAACAAAATAGTTACGGTGAGAGGCCAGGCCGAGGAGCTCTGACAGGTCAACACAAGATTCAGTCTCGGTCTTTTTCATATTAAACTGTCTATAGTTCTTTCACCAGTCACAGATCACACTTACTGTATCTCAAACATTATTTATATATAACATAACCAAAGCCATAATATAAGTAAAGTTTATCTTACTTCTTTGTTTATGTTTCCGGGTCGTGATATTAGTCCTGTCCGCCACTTGGGGTACCAGCTCTTACAGTCTTCCGTGAAAGATTATGAAACTTGGCCTAATGATTCTGGAAAGATAATGAACATGAACACGTAGTATGAAATATGTAGATTGACTATATTTTTTTCATCCTTTAACTGATAAGACACACATATACGTTAAAAGTAACGCCCACAGGTTGGCACAACACTTTTGAGGGATAGTTTGTATAAAAATAATTAGGGTCGTTTTGAATAACATTCTAAAATTTCTTCGTTTCTAGAACTTTCACCTTTGTTGAAATTTTGGAATTTGGGTTCAACGTCGGGATGCTTGGTGATATAAGATCTAGTGTCTATATTTTTTTTTATTAAAAGAAAACTGGGTATATTCTCTTGCTATTATGAAGATAAGATGTCCACCATGTAAACAAACTTTTGGCGGGAAGATGTATGATTGGATGGTCACAGGGTAAATGACGTCTGTGATACTGTTTATATTAGTGATGCAAATAGGTTCTTTTAACTGAATAATAAAAAAAAATGGTTTCTAATGTGGGAAACTGTCTCGATAAAAGGTCATGAGGGCTATCAGTAGAAAGGAGGGCTGTCAATTATCAGCAATGGGGATAATTAAAGTATACCGTAAAGTGTGGAAAAAAGCCCATTGTAAACTAAGCTTTCATCACTGCCCTCAATTTCATTCACTTCCCCAATCGCAAAGTTAGATACCTGTACTCATTCACAGCTAGATAAATTTTTGAGTACCCTGGGCGCGCGAACCAACAACCCTGAAGACAGAAGGTGAGTAGCTGTATCCACTTGCCCACCGCACTCTACCAGTAATAAGGACTTCGATTAACCAAGAGGTAGAACAGGTGATGACGCTGATGTTAAGAGGGCAGGTAAATAATTATTATCGGATGCTACATATGCTATTAAGTCTAGCCTCAGGGGTGCTAACAGTCAGAGGGCACGCCAGCAAGCAGAACTGATGTTGGCAGTAGAAGTGGAATAAGTTAAGAGTGTCAGTAAGCAGAACTGACATCAGCAGAGGCAACAGAAGGTAAGAAGTGCTGTCAGCAGGGGTATTAGGAAAGAGAAATGGTGTCAAATGGGGTTTCAATAAGCAGAAAAGATGTCAGCAGATAACATGAACATCAGCAGGCAGTTGGGATATTAGGATCTGAAGTGGTAACAATGTGTCAGGCGGGAGTCAAGCTGTCAGCACGCTTACTACCAATAAGAAGTATCTCGTCAGAAGGCAACATGAAACCAGCAGACAGCTGGATGGGTCAGCCGATAGTAGAATCAAGAGGTAGGCAGGAAGGTGTCAGCAGCCATAAGTAGAATGTCAGCAGGCAAGCAGCGCGAGTCAAAAGGTAGGCAGCAAGATATAAATAGGCAGGAAGCAGATTATTAGCGGTAAGAAGCAGGGTATCAGCAAGTAGGTAGTAAAATGTTAAAAGGTTGTCAGCAGGATGTCAGCAGACAGGTAATAGAATATCAGCAGGTAAGCAGCAGGATGTCAGCAAGCAGGTAACAAAACGTCAGCAGGCAGGCAGCAGGAGACACTTGCCAGCAGCGCGGGGCCCCCCAAAGCCCCGGTTATTGCTGGGCTGGTAATTCTGCACATTATTCACCACAAGTTTGTGGTGTAGCGCCATCAAAACAAGGCCGGGATCAGCCCTGGACGCCGCCTGTGCAAGATGGCAACAATTAAGATGAAAAATAAACAGTGGAGCTGGTAGCGGCGCGTTAATGATGTGTGGAGGATCATCACGGCGGGCGGTGCGTCGTGTGTGGGGGCGCGGCTCTCCCTGGCTCACAGGGTCCTGCCTCTCTGATGTAGGACCCTCCTGTCTAGCTCACAGGGTCCTGCCTCTCTGATGTAGGACCATCCTGTCTAGCTCACAGGACCCTGCCTCTCTGATGTAGGACCCTCCTGTCTGGCTCACAGGACCCTGCCTCTCTGATGTAGGGCCCTCCTGTCTGGCTCATAGGACCCTGCCTCTCTGATGTAGGGCCCTCCTGTCTGGCTCATAGGACCCTGCCTCTCTGATGTAGGGCCCTCCTGTCTGGCTCACAGGGTCCTGCCTCTGATGTAGGGGCCCCTCCTGTCTGGCCCATCCCGCCTCTCTGATGGGGCCCTCCTGTCTGCCTCACAGGGTCTGCCTCACAGCCTCTCTGATGTAGGATCCCTCATTCATAGGACCCTGCCTCTCTGATGCAGGACCCTCCTGTCTGGTTCACAGGGTCCTGCCTCTCTGATGTAGGGCCCTCCTGTCTGGCTCATAGGACCCTGCCTCTCTGATGTAGGGCCCTCCTGTCTGGCTCATAGGACCCTGCCTCTCTGATGTAGGACCCTCCTGTCTGGTTCACAGGGTCCTGCCTCTCTGATGTAGGGCCCTCCTGTCTGGCTCACAGGACCCTGCCTCTCTGATGTAGGACCCTCCTGTCTGGTTCACAGGGTCCTGCCTCTCTGATGTAGGACCCTCCTGTCTGGCTCACAGGACCCTGCCTCTGTGGCCGGTGTTGGAGCTCCTATGTTCCTCACTACTCCTCTGCTTCATGTAAGTCAGGTTCAGGTGCACTTTAGGATTCTCGCCACTGGATGTGAAACACCGATCCTGCCTGGTCCTGAGGAAGACCACCTGCGACTCTCACTGTATACGATAGGAGAGGAGTAGTAAGATGTGACTGACGGTGTTTATGTCTGTGGATATTCTGGTTCTGTATGATCCATCTGAGTGAGATCCGGGTCCTGTGTTACTGCTGAGCTCTTGTTTCACTGCAGTTTTTAGTTACCTTGTGTATGGCTGTTGTACTTTTCTCTTCTTTCTTTGGAGGAATATTCATTATGGTTGTTAGCCTACTGTAATGTAAGGTAAATACCACGTATATATTGTTAGAGTTTATGGTGATATGATGTGGCGTGGAAGAGGACTTAGGGTTGACGTCCAGTACACATGAGACACTATCGTAGGACACCTGATTGTCTTGTCATGTTGCCCATGTTCCACTACAACACTTGACTGTGAGGGGGACTTAGTTATGTAAAGGATAATAGCCCACTGTGTTAGGTGTGTGTGTGTGTCCAGGTCCTTCAGTGATCCTCTATACAGATCTTCTTTTAGTTTAGTCGTAAGCGAAGGCATTACCTGCTACGTGTAAACCTCCCAGCCCCTCAGGTGAGTTCCTTCAGGTGTATGAGTGTTGTATCTTCTCCTCATACCACAGATAGGACACAGTAACACACACACACACACACACACATAACAGGGGTCCATTTCAGGAAAAGACTCAGGTGTTGGTATGAGCGGCGGCGGCGGCGGCGGCGGCGGCGGGGCAGAGCGCGGCAGAGCACCAGGGTCGTATCTCATCAGGATCAGCGGGGGGCAGGAGCCGTTCATTATATCACATACAACATTCATTTCGGCGTGACTATTTACTTAGCGAACATTACTTTATGAAGCTTATAATTTCCCCTCACGCCCCTGCCTCCATCCTCAAAAAAAAACTTATTCACCCACCGCTTGATAATCATTAACTAAAAACCTATATGCAGTAAATCCTTCATTACCAGTTACCCTTCTTGCTTCCCCCTCTTCTTACGTACACACACACACACACACACACACACACGCATACACACATGCGCGCGCGTACTTATACAGATCAGATACACACACACACACTCCTGCACACACACACTCACGTACATATGAACACATACTTTTTGCACATACAAAAAATAAAGTGATATATGCATACTCACACAGGCTCACATATACACACACAAAACACACATCACTTACACACACCTGCAAACACTGAACACAAAACCCGTACATATAAACGAATACGTGGAGATATATAAACATACAAAAGCAACATATGCATACCCACACATACACACACATACACACACACACACACATACACACACAGTTAAATATATGTATTATATATGTAAACTCAGACATAGAATCGTAAACCAAACAAACAAAATCAATCGGAAGTCACACTAATAATCTCCCTTACACGGGTATGGGGCTCCAGCAGTAAGGATGTTTACGGTAGCCGAAGACCTCACGCGCTAAAGCACCTTCGCCAGTGTCGTCGTCAGGTAACCTCCTCCACCACCACCACAGGAGATTAAACCCGGGGTGGTGGCATCGGATCCCCGTCTTTGAGGACCGGGGGTGGGGGACAACCCGATGGTCCTCACAGGTAAATTGATGACAGTGATACGTTCTAACTGAAATCTAATGTCGTTTGTGGAGTATTAACTCGACGGGGACTCCCTCCTTCCCCGCCGAGGTCCCGCGTCTGATCGTTGTTGCTCCTGCAGCGGCCCCGGGGAGCCAGGGATGAGGAGGGGGGGGTACGGAGGGAGGGATGGAGGGAGAGAGAGAGGGAAGGAGGAAGGAAGGAACCAGGAGGGAAAGAGCGTAAGGAGGTGAGAAGGCGATTGATAACAGAGAGAGAGAGAGAGAGAGAGAGAGAGAGAGAGAGAGAGAGAGAGAGAGATAGAGAGAGAGAGAGAGAGAGAGAGATAGAGAGAGAGAGAGAGAGAGTATAAGGAGAAGTCGACCAGAGAAAAAGAAACGAAACATTAAAAGAAAATGGCAAGAAGGTTTTACACACTCACACACGAGAGGAGGAGGTGATGAAACTTCAACTGACCAAGAAAGATGAAAGAACGCGCCATAAAGGTGTGTGTGTGTGTGTGTGTGTGTGTGTGTGTGTGAGGAAGGACAAAGCGGCACTACACTAACACATTAAACACACACCCAACATATAATCCCTACAGATGGAGTCGATGAACTAAAACACCTCTTCAACGGAGCACTTATAAAATATCCACACACACATATCCTCACACACACACACATCCACACACACACACATCCACACACAGTAGATCGTGTCATATTTTAGTGATTGCCCAGCGAGAAGGCTTTTCTTGACTCAGGCATTTAAGGGCGTAAGTGCCTGAAGGGCCAGTGCACACACCAGCCAGGGGTGACAGGGATCATGTGAAGATTAGCCTTATCATATTATACTTAACCTTATCTATCATA